TGTGTTTTCTTTATTTGCTCTGTTTAATTGCCATTGTGGCAGTGGTTGGGTACCATATAAACTACAGGTACCGTATTTGCTCTAATAGTACTGTAAAATCTGTATTAAAAGCTGCGGCTTCTATTGAAGTGGTACAGAGCAACCGAGAGGATGCGGCTTCTATTAAAGCATCTACACGTATGAGAAATTGTGAACTTTTGGATCTCAATTGTTCAAAAAGAATGGGTGCAGCTTCTATTATGGATGTGGCTTCTAATACAGATTTTACGGTAGTACATACTTATGTAAATGCAGAGGTGAGTCTATGGTCAAAATGAGTAATAGCGTTTTAAAACTGGTAGCATCAAGAAATTGTGTTAATTTCGAGCCCTCCATGAAACTGAACTCAAGAGGGGGAAAAAAATTATTTTATTTTATTTACATTACTGATTAAAAATGCGGATTGCTTAATAATTTAAAAATTAAAATAAAAAAAAAATTAAAATTTATTCATCTTTAAAGCCCACGTCATCTGTTTATCACCTTTCACAGCCTAAACCTGCACCATTATTTATCTTTTTTTTTCAAATCTTGCTCAAACTCAAAACAGTTGATTCATATTTAAAAAAGAAATTACAAAAAATACCGAAAAATATTGGCGCAAATCATGTCAGCGGCTGCTGAACATGCATTTACAATGCATAAAAGTGATCAAACATATGATAAATTTAATTTACAACAATATAACTGAGCTTATATAAATAGATGGGGTATATAAATAGTTTGGCCTTTTGTTTAATTACAATTTGATTGCAGACAAAAGAATTGTCATCCTATTTTTACTGTTAAAGAAGAAGCATGTCGTTGGAGCGAGATAGAAACAAGTCAAGGCTATTTGTCTATATAAGCGGCAACACACCCAATGTAAAAGGACAGCGGAAGGTCAGCTATAATATACAATTTATGCACCACTTTGGATACTAGTACCATTAATAACAGGGGGGATGTGAAGCGTTGAAGACTGAGTTTACGGGAGAATCTGGTTTACGTTTGATTCACAGGTTATTAGAACTACATAGAGGTGTGAGAAATTAATATGCTAATAACTCCATAGCTATAAATACACGGAAGACAGCTCTGAAAGCAACAGGTATCGGTGACAGATCAATAATACTGGTACTTTGTGAATCAACACAGAAGATAGTGTTCGGTGGACCATTTCAGTGCAGTGCAACAGAACAGCCTGATCTGTTTGTTAGAACTATAGTAATTAATGGAAATTTAAGTGTCATCTGCAAAAATATGGGTGGGTGCTAGCATATGGTATATAGTGCTGGTAGTTTTGTGGATTAATTCAATATACAAGTGTCTGTACTTACGTGTTAGAATGAACAATTACAGCTCAGTGTAAATTAAATTAACACTTCACAATTTTGATGGAGCTTAGGATAAGAGAAAATCCTTCCTCTCTGTAGAATCAGTTAGCTACCACAACCACTAAAGACCACTGTATGTATTGCGCTGGTTTCATGTCGGAACAACATATCTAGAGATACATCCTTGTTGGGGGAGGGCTAAACTATTATTTGCAGGTATGACAGGTAGTATCTCTGAGGGATTCTTTTCAAACTAAAAGGCGTTTTTCTCGGGTTAACATTTTATTGTTTAATATCAATGCTATAAAGGTTATAAAGATATCATTCAGTATTTCATTCTTTATTTCTTTCACACTCAAATCTGATCACCTTTTCAGTAATTTTCACTCTAATAATTAAATTTTAATTTTGAACCAAACAGACAAAATGTGGCATTACTTCTAATTTGTTAACACAAGTGCTGGAAATTATCACAACATTTCATGTGGAAGAACTACTGTAGAATACTTTATTTTCGTTTGGAATTAACTTTCGCTATTTTCGCTGAAGGAATGAGTCATTGAAAATAAAATCCAGCAAATATAACTTGTTTCCTTTACATTCAACTTGTCAAAAATCAGTGAATATAAATTCCATACAAAACACCCAAAAACTATATTCAGCGAAAATTAATTACATATTTTTTGAATGGTGCCTTAAGTTAAAGGATTTCCTCTAGAACAACACTCTCAGTTGAGGTGAATGACCTAAGTCTCTGAGCCACACACTCCCTTGCACATTTAATAAGATGCTAAACGATGTGAACAGCTAGCCTGTCCAGACTTTGGGAGCCATTGTCAACTTTTGGCACCATCTACAAAATTATTTGGTCTGCTTCTACCCACATGTGACCATTTGATCAAAAAAATAAAAGCAATATCTGAAACTGTCTGTATGGCCCAAAATAGTGACAAAATTTGACAAAATGTGTAAATATTTGCACTGAATTTTGGGCCAGGAAAAATATCAGGCACTCAAAGTTTAATGAAGTATATAAGTTAAATCGTAAGTTGAAGGATGAGAGCTGCCGTACAGAGTATGTCATTTGTAATGTACTTTTCATTATTGTGTGGTATGAATTACATTTTAAAAATCTTGTAAGAAAAATATTAATAATTATACATAGTTAACAATTGATTATTTAACAGCAGTTTCTAAAAAAAGTCGTCAATTTGTCAGAATTTCTATTTTCAGATCAGATATTTTGCCTGGAGTGAGTTATGTGGCATAGAAACCATATTTCATGTTTGGAACTATGTGACAGGAGTGTATGACCATCTCACTATCATAATTGCATTATGGTAATTTAATGCGCTATCCCGGCATCAACTAGAACCAGTCAACTACAAGAATCTTGAGACCTTGAGTTTGTGTGACCCTTGCCCAGGGTAGGGTGGTTTAGCATTCAACTCTAGACAAGGGACTACACAACTCAAAAAACAGCAAGCTAGCGGCGATCAACGTATTTGTCAATGTCATTAATAAGTACCAGGGCGACAACTTATGGAGTGTGATAACAGACGAACAAATTGATGTGAAAATATTAAAAACAATAATCTGCCATTCTTATAAATATACTAAAATTTAATCCTTCAATGTAAAAAATCGTTTATTTTAAAATTATTTGTTCAATCTTGTTTTTCCATACAGCAATAGTATTTATAATCATTCATGGTTAAAAGGGGTGTTTTTCGTAAAAAGCATTTAAAACTATCCAAATAAACTTTATAACTTTATTTGAGAAAGTTGTAATTAAAGCATTTATTTTCTTTGGTATTTCAATTTCACTGTTTTGATATTTTGAGCATATTCACTGGGTTTTATACTTTTGGATTTGCAAGTTAAACAATAAGTTCCATTGTAATTTTACATAATCACAAGGATTTAAATCACGAACTCACACTTATCAGCAATATAGCAAAATTAAATAAACAAGTCATTGAAAATGACACAGTCCCTGTTGAATTTTTGAAAGTTCTCTTTGTGCTAGTCATATTAAAGCAGGGTTGTTGCAAGCATGTCCTTGAAACTTGAGTCCCAAATGGCATATACAACAAATTGTTTAATTACATCAAAACACATGTTCTGTGTAGTAGTAATATGGCCAAAAATAAAAACAGCTGTTACTCGGCCATCTTTGATCTGATTATGAAACAAACCGACATGTATGATGTATGTGCCAAATACGAATTAAAATGCTACATAAATCTTGGAAATAAATCCATCCATAAATGCCAGAAATGCTTGATATTTGATGATTTTTTAGTACAAAAATGGCCACCATTCAGCCATTTTGAATAGGATCATCAAACCAATATATCTGTATATCTATGACATGATGTATAATGAATATTAAAAATTTGAACATAATCAGTCAAAACAAGTCAGACATATGGGCCTGGAAACCCATTCATTAAAACAAAATGGCCGCCAGACAGCAATTTTGAATCTGATCTGAAAAACAAATAATTTGCATCAAGATCCCATAATGTCTAATGTATATATCAAGTTTGAACAAAATCCATCTGTTAACAGCCGAGAAATGCTTGACTTTTATGATTTTTTAGCACAAAAA